GTCCCAATTATTATTTCAAATTAGGAAACGTTGTAAACAGCTTAGAGGGGAAGAGCCCCAGTGTATCTACCTCCCCCTCACTGGGAAGCAATTAGAAATGTTATTTCAGACTGATATAAATTGGCAAATTGGGTTAAGTGGATATTCAGGGGAACTTAGCTGTCATCTATTAAAAGATAAATTATTACAATTTTTATATAATACCTCCATCATTATACCAAAAAATACTAGGCAGGAACCTATTCCTGGAGCTTTAACTGTTTTTACTGATGGATCATCAAATGGGAAAGCTGCCTATCATACAATAGATTCAGACCGAGTCATACTGACCAGTCATACTTCTGTACAAAGAATTGAACTAGAAGCTATTAAGGCTGCATTGCAGGATTTCCAAGAGCCTCTTAATATTGTCTCTGATTCCTTTTATGCTGCAAACTTAGTGAATAGAATTGAAACTGCCAGATTGAAATGGCTTAGTAACCAAAGTTTATTTTTACTATTCAAACAAGTTCAGCAGATTGTACAACAGAGACAATATCCTTTTTATATCACTCATATCAGGGCTCATAGTGTCTTACCTGGTCCTTTAACAAAAGGAAATGCACAGGCTGATCAACTGGTTGCTTTATTGAAAGAAGCTTTAGAATCTCATCAGCTTTTACATCAGCCTGCCAAAATGTTGTCTAAACAATTCTCAATCACTCGACAACAGGCAAAACAGATTATTAAGGAGTGTCCAACTTGCATGTTACATCTACCTCAAGGGCCTAACACAGGAGTCAACCCCAGAGGTTTGCTAAAAGACCATATCTGGCAAATGGATGTAACACATTATAATTCCTTTGGACGCCTTGGGGCATTACATGTCTCCGTAGATACCTTTTCAAAAGTCCTATGGGCTACTGCATCTACAGGAGAAACGGCAAAACAGGTTATTAATCATTGCCTAGCTGCTTTTGCCTCATGGGAATTCCAAAAATTATTAAAACTGATAATGGGCCTGCTTACACAAGCTGTCAATTCCAGGAATTTTGTAAAAGGTGGAAAATTCAGCATATTACAGGAATACCATATAATTCCCAAGGACAGGCCATTATTGAACGACAGCATCAGCGGCTAAAGTCCCAACTTGAAAAACAAAAAGGTGGGATGATGGAGAAATCACCTGCAGGTAGGCTGCACCAAGCCTTAATTACTTTAAACTTTTTCACTTGTGATGATGAAGGAAGGACGCCTATGGAAATACATTGGCATCAGAGTAAAACAAAAGAAAATGGTCTAGTTAAATGGAAGGATCCCGAATCTGGTTTATGGAAGGGACCTGATCCATTGTTAACGTTTGGCAGAGGGTATGCTTGTATATTCCCAGAAAATTTTTCCAAACCAGTATGGATTCCTGCTAGAAATATTAAACTGCAACAGGGATCCAGGAGAGAAACTAGCCAGACTAATGAGGACCTTGCGTCTGGAGCCACACCATGCAGCTGCAGACAATCAACTACTCCAGCTACAGAGGACAGTGACTCCAAGCAGTCCACTGAAGATGAGCAGGAGGACGAGCCGGACAGCAAGCAGCCCGGAGAACACCTGGGGCATGGTGAAGAAGACGGTACAGACACCTGACACCTGAGAATGTCTTTCTTGCCATGTTAGCAGTATTCATCTGTACGGTAATATTACCTGGGACAAATGTGGAAGTGTTTAGGACTTACGTTCCTGACCATTCATGGGTAAAAGTCCTTATGTGGGCTGATCCCTTGCCAATGTAGTCACCAATAATACTAAGCACCTTGGTCATCCAGGAAGAAAATGGGTGGGGCAAGGAAGTATAATTACACAGGTGTTGCCACCCAGCTTCCCTTTTTGTATGACACAAAATCAAACCAATGCTCCTTTGTGTATAAAATTAAAGAGAGGTTTCTGGCTTGCACCAAAGTAGAGGAATATCACTACTTACTCCTGGGAAAGGTGCAGAGAATGTAACTAAGACCTTGTCTATACAAAAAGAAATTGACAGCCAGTTTGAATTTGAATTGCCATTGGCTTAGAACAAAGAATATCCTTGCATGGTATTATTCTACAATGTCATTTATAATTTTTGATATTTTACAACAGCATATTATACAGTTATTCCAAACAAAATTAAAAATCTAATTTTCAAATGTTTGGCAGCAATTTAAAAGGACATGAAAGGATTTAATCCCTTCCACTGTGTGGAGGGCCTCACTGGGAAGGCACTTGAGCATTCTATATTGGCCTTTCTTGCCTTATTTGCGAAGAGGGACCCTCTTGTCACAATCCAATTGCCCACAGCTGTTGCCAGAGTTTTCAATTCATACTGAGGTTAAAGCCTCGTGGTGGCCGGTACCATGAATCTGTCTCTCACACAATGGCGTGAGCTGGGACCTCCGTGGAGAAGAAACCTGGGTTCCCCAAGATATGTGATATGTGATCAATGCCGGGGCCCTGCCAGCAGGCGAGAGGATCCCAAGGCAGGTACTGGGCATGGAGGCCATAGGGGCATAGGCTACAAGGAGACAGAACTGAACCTCACATCACCCTGCTTGGCCCTGGAGGATGGCTGGTTAGCCAATGACGGGTAAGATTCCTCACGGGAGGGACAACCTAAGACAGGCACAGCCGTAGAGGGCCATCAGGAGAGGACCTGGGGGCCAACAGAGGTGGGGCACAGATCCTCACCCCCCCAACGCTGCAGGGGCTTGAACACTTGCCCTTTTGAGGGATGTCTCCTGCCCCATGGCTGCTTCACGCTTCCCATACCCAGCTCAGATTGGAACCCAGGCAACAAACACATTTGGTCCAGCTCAGATTGAGACCCAGCTACAAACAAGAGACTTGGCACCACTCTTATTGAGACCCAAGCAACAGAGAAATGGCTGATGGCGACTGTCCTACATCTAAATCCAGCCTAAATCTAGGAGTGCTCAGGGCTTTCTCAGGGATGCATATAATCTTTTCCATTAATATTTACAGAGTAAACTAAAATTGTTGTTAAAGTATTAAATTTGACAGTAAAATAGTCAAGTTTTCAAATTAATTTAAATTGGCTAAATGAAATGAGTTAATATTCAAGAAAATTTAATTGTACAACAGGCTGTTCCTAAAGTATTAACCAAAATTTCTATGGGTAGTCCACTTCATGGTGAATTTGTTTAACATACAATAAACCCTAAAGCAGTCATAGTTTTAGTACAAAAAATTAAAATTTAAAAGTTATCAAAACAGCATTATAAAAAATTTTTTTCAAAAGCCTCCTAATAATTAAATAGAAAAAAGGGGGATAGTGGAAAATACCATGTAAGAAAAAATGTCCTGTAAGTAAGTTACATCTAGAAAAATTTTTCTTCTTTTGAAAACCAATTTTCATTTGTAATGATAACAGTAAGATAGCCATGAAAAACACACATAGTACCAAAATAAGTCAAAGAAAAATTGTTTGGGCAAAGAATTAAAAGTATCCCAAGTAAAATTTATAGAAAAGATTCCTTTATTTTGGTCGAGATATGTTTGTATATTTTCAGAAAACAACTCCAAGACCATGTGGATTCCTGCAACAAAGAAGAATTGACAGGAATACTCCAGCCATAAAGATGAGGAAAAACAGACCAGAGATGGAAGATGCTGACGACGCCTTGCCATACTAGCAGTCGGCAGATGTGCGTCGCTGCAGGTTGTCCAGGACCAAATCAGAGGTCGGACCTGCATTGCCACCATTTTTCCACCATCCGGATGCCATTGCTGACATGGACTCAGAACTATTGGACATTAAAATTTGGACTTGAAACTTTTGGAAATTGAAATTTGGACTCAAAAAACTGTTTGACATTGAATCTGGGATTCAAAAACTGTTGGCCCAGAAAGAAATGTACTGCAGACTGATTTCATTTGACTCTCAGCATAGCCATTGTTGCTTATTTCATTTTTTGTTTGTTTATTTCTAGTCTGCATATGTAAAACTTTTTAGGGAAAGAAAACGGGGGAGATGCTGGAAACCAAATCAGTTTCACTGAAAAAGAGATGTTGACAGGAAGCCAGGAAGGCTGGTCAACAACCTTAATTGCTCTAACCTTTAGTTGAGATATTGTTAGCTGAAGCAGAATCTACCTTGTCCGTGAAAGTTTGTTATTTCCTGCCTAAGGGCTACATGTAAATTTCTGTTTATGTTGCTTAAGATGTTTTCCCCAAAGCCTCAATAAAAGGGGATGGCAGGGCCAGAGCAGGAGTAGTTCTCCCACTAGAGTTGGACTACCGCCTGGCCCCCCAAATCGCCAAATTGAATTTCTTCAAGTCTCTTCATTTGTGTGCGGCCCTTCTCCAGAAGCTGAACCCTGAATTGGAACTCTTTCTACGCGGGCCGTGAAAGAGAGTCCTATAATCTCCTCCCTGCAGGATGGGAATCACGTGTCTGCAGGGTGTGGCTGTGCAGTTCAGGCCTCAGGTTAGGCCGGCAGCAGGGCCTGGGCAGCCCCCAGCTCCCCGTGTCTGTCTGTCCGGGCGAGGGGAAGGGAGCAGCACTGACTGAGCACCTACTATGTGCCAGGCACCGCACCAAGCAGAGGAAAGCAGAGGCTGAGAAGCAGAAGCTGGGCCCCAACGCCAGCTGAGAGCAGGAGGCCGCCAGGAGGTCCCTGCACCTGGTGCCGGGAAGGAGAAGGTGGGGTCGAGGAGGAGAGGGAGGCCAGGCCAGCCTGGAGGCTCAGTGGGGAGTGCCTTTCTCCTGAAACAGCACGTGGGCGGGCGGAGCTCTGGGGAGAGACCGGCTGGCAGAGGCCGGAGCACGGCAGAGGCCCTGAGACAGCACGGAGCTGGGCGTGTGGGAGGCTGGTGCGGGGCGGGAGGGAGCGGAGCTGGAGGAAGCTCGGCCACAGGGCCCTTGTCCATCCTGCCCGGGGTCCCCACACACCCGTCTGAGAGCCTGTGCCCACACTGAGTGCAGCCACGGTGACAGGGTGAGGGGTGGGGGTGGGGGAACCTCTCACCTTCGGCAACGCGTACTTCGGCAGCTTCATCAGGGCAAACTCGTTTTGACGATAAGACACGTAGTACTTGGTCTGGTTGCTGGACGTTGCCTAACAGGAGAGAGGGGTTTCTGAGGGGTTCGGTTCCCTTCCAGCCAGATCCTCACGAATTAAAAACCACGCTTTGTAATCAGTGCGCGCGCACACATACACACACACACACACACACACACACACAAAGCCCTTTTACTTTGCTTGTTCCTGCTCTGCCTGAAATAGACAAACTCCTATTCATCCTTCAAAGCCCCATACCGAACGCCCCTCCTCTGAGAAGTCTTCCCCCACCTCCTTCAGTTAGAACGACTCTTTCCTCCTCCCCCTGTTTCCCTGCAGCTGCGTTATGGAACAAGGTGGAATGGTTTATCCAGGAAAGGCCAGCGCCCTGGCCCGGGGATCAGCTTTGTGGGACTGGCGAGGTGGTGCCTCAGCCACAGGGAAACTGAATTAGTGGCACTTGAAAATCACGGCCTGAGCTGCACTCACTGTGGGCACAGGCTCTTCCTCCAGCTCCGCTCCCTCCCACCCCGCGCCAGGTGCCTGCATTCCCCCTTGCCTCCCGTCCCTGCTGCCCATGCCCTGCCGCACGGAGCCGCACCTTGAAGAAGACGAACTGGCCCTGCAGGAGCAGGGACCGGCGGTCGATGGGGCCGGCGAACGGCGCGCTCAGCCTCCTGCTGGAGCAGTTGTGGACGTGGGCCGTCACGTAGCGGGTCCCTGGGGGGGGAGGGCCGTGGCGGCTGAACTCTGTCCGGTGGCCCGGACACTGACGGCTGGGCCGCCCCGGCCGCCTGCCCGCGGGTGCCCCGGGGGGTTGCTGTGGGCTGGCATTGAGGGACCTGCCGTGGCCACTGCCACTGCTGCACGGGGGTGTGGGCTCTGGGCCCTTTCCTCCTCTGGAAGCTGTCGGTGGCCCCTCACCGGCGAGGAGCCGGAGGCCGAGGAGAGGGCAGGAGAGTAAAGCACGGCCGCCGGGCTGCCATGCCGGCGTGGCCTCCGGCTGCTTTCAGAGCAGCACAGCCCACGGTGGCGGCGACCACGTGGCCCGCCGCTGAGTCACCAGCCGGCCCTGACGGGGAACCGGCGGCCGGGTCCCAGCCCAGCAGGCGAGCGCAGGGTGGCCACACCTGCCGGCGTCCATGCCCCTCCCCCCACCCCGGTGCCACACTCCGCGGCCTCAGGAGTGCGGGTCCCGTCACTCAGCGGCACGTCAGGCCCACAGCCAGCCACCCTGTGCCGACGCCACGGCCCCCCGACCCGCCACGGCCCTTCGCAGCGGCCTCACCACGCCCTGCGGCCAACAGTGC